TCGCCAAACAGCGTACCACTGTGCGAACGTGATGCGTGGCGTCTTCAGCGCGGCGCTGGTCTCTACTTCAATCGTCCACTCTCTCCCTGGCTCCTGACTTGGGGGCACATCTTGTAAGGGCATATCTTTAGAGGGCAGATCGGCTGACTGGTCGGTTTCTACCAACCCCTTTTGCTCGCCTGATTCATTCACCACTTGGCCACTTGGGAACTTGGCCAAACCTTCATCTGCCCGCATACAAACCCTGGTCTCTCCCCCTAACTTGGGAATAACTCCACTATCCCCTCTTTCGCCTTCTTTCCAACCGGTCCTCCCTCACCCCTTCTGTAGCCACCTTCATTTTCTTTTTCTTCAACACCGCATCTACCTCCCTCTTGCTTATTTTCTTCAGCGAATGGACTGGCGCCCACAAAGGCACAACGTCGGTTAGGTTTTTCTCTCCCAATGACTTGGGACGTGGTTTGACCGACCTCTTCACAACCAGCTTCGGCGTTGGGCCTAATTCTTTCTCTTTATATTTTCCCGCCCTTGCAAAAGCTCGCTTGTCCTCATCTTGAGCTTTCCTCCTCGTCTCTATCTCCTTTGGCCTCGAATCTCCTGCGGCTGGTTGCGGCCCCAGATTCAAGGCGAACAAGGCTGAGGACCACCACTTGGCCACTTGGGAACTTGGCCAAACCTTCATCTGCCCGCATATAAACCCTGGTCTCTCCCCCTGACTTGGGAATAACTCCACTATCCCCTCTTTCGCCTTCTTTCCAACCGGTCTTCCTTCACCCCTTCTGTAGCCACCTTTATTTTCTTTTTCTTCAACACCGCATCTACCTCCCTCTTGCTTATTTTCTTCAGCGAATGGACTGGCGCCCACAAAGGCACAACGTCGGTTAGGTCTTTCTCTCCCAATGACTTGGGGCGTGGTTTGACCGACCTCTTCACAACCAGCTTCGGCGTTAGGCCTAATTCTTTCTCTTTATATTTCTCCGCCCTTGCAAAAGCTCGTTTGTCCTCCTCTTGAGCTTTCCTCCTCGTCTCTATCTCCTTTGGCCTCGAATCTCCTGCAGCTGGTTGCGGCCCCAGATTCAAGGCGAACAAGGCTGAGGACTGGACGAGGTCGTCCCATTTTAGCCCCTTCTTCTCCCTTCAGTCCTTCACCTATTTGACCATCATCTCCGCCTCGACATCTATTCTTGGCTCAAAAGACTTGGTGGGGACTTTCCAAATTGTATGCGCCCCTCTTCCGCCGCTCACCGACACAAAAAACCACATTGGCCGCCAGCCCTTCACCGACGACGGCAATCCCGCCACCAACCCCCTTCCTATTTCGGCTTGTAAGGTCACCTATGTCTCCTGTTGCCCTGACGCCTTGTAGTAGAAGAAAAACTCATCCACCGTCATCATCTTCCCCCTGGTCGCCTGCGGCTACGCGATTGCACAAACGAATATAATCTTCTGCACGTTCAGCATAAGTTGCCCTAGAGCCACCTCAAAGCGATTTAACACGTCCACCACTAGTTGTGAGAGGGGCAACCTTAGGCCCCCACGTAGTGCCTCTTCATACAATGCGAACTCTATCGGTCGTCCGTCCAACACCACCTCCTTCGTTGTTGGCAACCTTAACTCTATGTCGGCCGGAATCTAATATCTGCTGCGCAACTTCTCCAGATCCTCTATCGTTAGAGTGGATTTATCTGCCTTCGTATGCTAGTGGTCCAGCGCCACTTGGCTAATCGGCTACACTGCCGAGATCATTGTCAACCCTAGGGGTCGCGCTGGCCGCTCTGCCTCCCTCTTCACCCGCCTTTTCGTCCTATACTGCTCCGCCAACTCCACCCCATCATCCTTTCCTAATGCATCCGCTCCTATGGTTAGCATTTTATATTATACCATCTCCTTCACATTTTTAACCATTGCTTCGGTTGCGAAGGTAAGAAAATTTGCGATATGCCAGATGGGCGAATCTCCTGCGATAAAGGAACTTAAGTCTAGAATGTGCTGGTTTTTTTGCAATAAGGTAGGTAAAACGCACAAGTCCAAAAGCCTAGGGTTTGCTTATTTCTTAAGGATCGCGGTTAAAATTCGTTAGTTTGAAAATTTATACAAAAATACAACCCTCGTTTTTTCCACATCCTAACTTACCAACCCCCTCACCTTCTACACCCCATTCGTCTCTCTCATTAGCGACCATTATTGTGCCATGTGTACGGCCACGATCCTTTCCTCGCCTACTAATTCTCTTTCCTCTTTCCTGTCTATTCCCCTTCACATCATCACGTGCTTGTCCTCCCCTTGAGCCCCGTGCGCCGTTAATCTTTACTCGATCACCTTTGCAGTCAACCCACCTCACGCTCGGTCACTCCATGATCTACCACTCCATGATTAGCCAGCCTGACGGTTTTCCCTCACGCTCGGCCCAACTCATGCTCGGCCAGTCTGACGGTCTTCCCTCCCAGTTGGTTGCCCTTGCGGTTGGCCAACCTGACGATCGACCACTCTAACCCACGCACCCCTACCAAGCCTCGGCGGTCTTCCTCCCGCATTATTATTCCCTTTGTTGGACTAAAGCTATACTCAGGAATGGAGGACTATTGATACCAATGGGCACCCAAGAGGGCCCAACCCACGGATCAGGGCCTAGTTCATATCCCAGTGATCAAAGCCCAATAACTCTGAGAAATCAACACTAGGGCCGGACCAATAACATTCAAACACTTGCCAAACAGAAGCCTAGCCACATAGGTAGACAAAGATCCTGTAAAGTTATTGCACCCACACATCAGCCATTAATGAGGCTTTTACGGCATTAAATATGATAACCCCTTCACGTCGAAGGAAACATAGACACCATGAATGATGCGAGCTAGAATGCAGACTTTCGACCAACACGACAGTCTGGAATGGACAAAGAAATGATGAGCAAATGATAAAAGAGGCTTCCGAAATGCGTAAAAGGTTAAGTTCTTCGTTCTTTTTTTCTCTTTTTACACAGTCAATCTATCTAATTCTAACTCGATCGTCGAAGGGTTCGCTGAGGGATTACCTCCCCCTTTGGACCTTTTTGCAGGCACATTCTGTGGGTTCCAAGACCAACAAAACCGTTAGAAGCGTGGATTAGCCCGACCTAAATACGATAACCCCTTCACGTCGAAGGAAACATAGACACCATGAATGATGCGAGCTAGAATGCAGACTTTCGACCAACACGACAGTCTGGAATGGACAAAGAAATGATGAGCAAATGATAAAAGAGGCTTCCGAAATGCGTAAAAGGTTAAGTTCTTCGTTCTTTTTTTCTCTTTTTACACAGTCAATCTATCTAATTGTAACTTGATCGTCGGAGGGTTCGCTGAGGGATTACCTCCCCCTTTGGACCTTTTTGCAAGCACATTCTGTGGGTTTCAAGACCAACAAAACCGTTAGAAGCGTGGATTAGCCCGACCCATCTTCCATTGGAATTACCACCTCATCAAAAATTATAGAAATCTGGGTTTGATGAGTTCTATCTCACTTTTGATTAGTTTCTTTGTTATAAGAAGAAAAAGAAGAAGATGGAGGAGGTGGTGGTGTACAGGAGGTTGTTGGAGGTAGTTGCCGGTGGGGTGGGTCTAGATGTTGGAGTTGAAGATAGCGGTTGTGGTTGTGACTGCAGCTGTCGGAGGTGATGGTTAGGGAATGAGGTAGAATTAGGATTTGTTAAGTTAGGAGTGTAAGGATGAGGGTTATGATGGGAATTATGGTGATTGTAAATAGATAATTGAATTTTTGTATGTTATGCAGTGAGAAATTGAGTGTAAAGAGAATTTTTTGATGTGTAAGTAGAATTTCTCATGGGTTTAGGGTAAGAAAACTTATACTACTCAAGTAAGTACACATTATAATATTAATTTTATTTTATTCTTACTTAATTTGAATTGCAAACACATCGCGCGTGTCACGGGTGATCATGGATCTGTCCAATCCACCTAATCCAACTTGATTGATTTTGGGCGGATGCGTGTTTTTCAGCGAACGAATGTAAATGAAATATTTCAAAATTCGCAACGGATCAACCATCTCGCACCTATATGAATCCGATTAGCTTGTATATGAAGTTAAAAAAAAAGAAAAGAAACTGCTGAGAAAAAACAATATAGAATAAAAATAATAAAATATATATTTTTGTGAAAATAAAAAACACTACCTTAAAAAATATATGCATTGTGTCATGATCTATTATAAACAAATAATACATATTTTTTCAGATTAATAGTTATTGGAGATTGTAAAAGTTATGAATTATAATTTAAAAAAATATTCAAAATTTGTAAAGTCTAAATCGCCAAACCGATCGTATCCATCTGCTAACCCGCATGGCTCTCTCAATTTGCATTCGCCAAATCAGTGAACAGATACAGATTGATTTTTTTCCAAACTATCTAATTTTTAACGGATGGCGGATTCAACTCGATTTACGATCACCCCAACCAGTTGTGTAACTAGATGGGGAGTGAAGATTACCGGTATGTTTGGTTTGATTTTAAAAGAGTAGTTTTTTAAAATTATTTTAAGGAGAGAATTTAGAAATTTTTTTGATTTGTTTGATTGTGTATTTTAAAAGTAGTTTTTGAGTTTGGGAGTTTGGAGTAATTTGATATTTTGTTATAATTGAGTAGATATGTGAGAGACAAAAAGTGATTGAGAATGAGAGAAGAGAGAGAAAAAGCGATTGATTGATGTGTAAGAGAGAAAAAGTGATTTTAAAAATTGTTTTGAAAAAATTACAAACCAAACAAGTTTTTTAAATTTTTTTTTCCAAAATCACCCTACAAACCCAAACCAAACATACCCTACATTTTTCACTTTAGAGGGGTGGTGAAGAATTTAATGAGTTCGGGTCGGAAGTGAGGCCAAGCAACAGAAATGGGGGTGGGGTAGGGATAGAGGCCCGACCCATATCCTAAGCCGTTGCCATCCATGGGCGAGCCGAGTTCGAGTTCGACCCGTCCCCGAATAAGCAACCCGTTGGTTCCCCTAGGGTTTATATATTTCCATTTCCCAATCGCAGAGACGAGTTCGAGTTATTCTCTAGCCGACCCGTCGTCGCTAGCACGCTACTATTCGTTACAATTTCTCTCACTCCTCCGCTATCTCTCCACCTCTAGCTCCGTTCAGGTAATTATTCTCATTCAATCTCCATTTTTAAGTACCCTTCTGTTTGGTTTATCTACTTCAAACTGTGCGTGAAAACGCTCAGTCCAAGCCCTAATCTGATTGATTTGATGCATCTTCGTTGAAATTTGAACTGGGTTTTGGGTTTGCCCTTGTCCTTTTTACTGATTGGTTTAATGTCATACCCATCAATTAGGGTCGTCGATTTTTTTTATTTTTTATTTTCTAAGCCCTAATCTGATTAACTGTGGGGGCTTATTGGTTGCTACTTAAATTTGATGCATGTTTGTTGAGATTTGAACTGGGTTTTTGGTTTGCCTTGTCCAGTATGGTCTGGTGCCCAAGATACCAGTGTTGCTTTTCCTGGTACTCATTATATACCCATCAATTAGGACCTTGGTCTGTTTTTTTTCATCGTGCATAAAACCATTTGGTCACATTTATCTTGAATATTCATAGTTATAGAAAGCAAATTATTAAATTGATGTGGTATCGCACCAAAAAAAAATGTTTAATTAGGGGAACCTTAGTTGTTAAATCAAGAATTGTAAAGAGTCATTTATAATTTATAAAATACATTAAAAAATAATAATGATCCTATAATATGTAAAAGATTTATAAAAGAGAAATGCTAGAGACGTACAATTTTAAACCCACAAATGCAGCCACAATTATGTGTCAAGGAGTGGGGCATATATGAAGGAGTGGGGCATATATGATTTGAGTTGCGTGACAAATAAAAAGTTGACACCCATGATGCCACGATTAGGGAGCTAATTTAAAGGTCTCAAACATTTTTCTTTCTAAAATACTTAACACAAATGATTTGTAGCTCGAATTTGTAACCCCCGAATGGCCCAAATGTGTTGGCACCCTCTCACTCCATTTTGGACTCATGCGCATAAACCCTTTGTCTCTCCTCTCTATCTCTCTCTATTAGACCCAATGTCTCTGAAATCGCTCTCCTCTCTTCCTCCTCCTAAACGCAGACTCTGCTTCAAATCCCTCTCTCTTTCTCTCTCTCTCTCTCTCTCTCTGTCAAACAGCTTCGTCTTTATCAAATCGACACCGGAGCTGTCGAATCCCAAAAACTGGTAGCTTCCTCTCAGGTCTCAAACATTTTTCTTTCTAAAATACTTAACACAAATGATTTGTAGCTCGAATTTGTAACCCCCGAATGGCCCAAATGTGTTGGCACCCTCTCACTCCATTTTGGACTCATGCGCATAAACCCTTTGTCTCTCCTCTCTATCTCTCTCTATTAGACCCAATGTCTCTGAAATCGCTCTCCTCTCTTCCTCCTCCTAAATGCAGACTCTGCTTCAAATCCCTCTCTCTTTCTCTCTCTCTCTCTCTCTCAAACAGCTTCGTCTTTATCAAATCGACACCGGAGCTGTCGAATCCCAAAAACTGGTAGCTTCCTCTCCGCCACCGGAGCCCTCCTTTCATCCGTCTCTATTGGGTTCTTTCATGGCAGTGGTGGAGGGAGTAGTGTGAGGATGTAGAGTTTGTTGGAATTTCTGGGTTTGGTGAAGATTTACAAACACGTTTGGATTTGTATGATACTTTTTTTCTGCAAATTGCCTCTCATCTTCTCTCTCTCTCTCTCTCTATATATATATACATATGTATAGCTATTTATGTGCATCAATGATGAGTGAAAGAGAGAAGAAGAAAACAAAGGATTTTGGGTTTGGATTTGAATTTGAAGGATAAATGAAGATGATTTTTTTTTAGGTTCATAGCATAAAGAACAAAGCTTCATGGATATACAACTATATGTGAAGAGAGAGATTGGGTTCAAAAAACTTTCATGGTGAGAGTGAAAACAGAGTTTGATCAAAATTGAATTTTGATTCCTTCCATTTTGGGTTTATATGATCTCTCTCTCTCTCTATATATATATATATATATGATGGGTTAAAGAAATTATGTTGGTGAAAGAACAATGGAAGGTGAAGAGAGCTTTGAAGGTTGGGGCTAATGGTGGATTTGAGAGCAAACAAAAATTGTGGTCCCCTCTCTCCCTCCTCTCTCTTCTCTTTCTTTGTTTTGAAAATGTGTGGGTTTCACACATGTTTGAGGCAACTGGGCCAAAGCCAAAAAATGGGATGCTAACACATTTGGGCCATTCGGGGAGGTGAGATTTTGAGCTACCTAACGGAATTGAATACATAAAATTTATATCTAATTAAACAATTAGATACTAAAGGCAAATTATAAGCATGGACAGTTATAAATTGATGATAAAAATATTTTGAATGATGAGCACATAGTGTAAATAGTTAAGATGCTTGTATTTTATGACAATCAATAGATTGATGCTATGTTACATGGACTCGAATATGGGTGTGGGGTGTGGGTATGTATCTAGAGGTCAGATTCATGAAACCATAAATTTAAGGGCATATGGACTTAGCAAAAAAATGTCGTATTTTTAAATTTTTAATCAAGTATATGAGATAAAATGGTACTATATATAACTTACAGTTTCAAAAGGACATTTATTGCAATTATATAATAATATGTACATATAATAATAGTGTTATATACAATTATATAAGAAGTGTTTGTTGAAAAATATCCGACACATATCTCATACCCTTATCCGAGTGTCGGGTGTTTGATGTGGATATTTGATTTATTTTAAAGAGCCCGTGTAACGTAGGATTGATGTACTTATGTGAATTAAAGAAAACATGGATCTAAGATCCATCATTCGAGATCTTAAATAATTTTGAAATTTCAAGTCACCAAATTGATAAAAATTTAACATACTATGCATTCATATAATACTAGAAAGCGTGGCGCGCACACAATGTGTGCTCAGAAATAGAAGACAGTTGTAACCGGCATGTGGGATGTGTGCTTGGTTTACTTAATTGTATTAGGGTTGAATATTACATGTTAATCCCTAAGTTACTAAGAACAAATGCCAATCAAAATTGTGCGGGCATTTTGGGATAACAGAACTTATAAAAGTGTTCACACCAAACTGGTGCGTTCACACTATATAATAGTATAGATATTATACCCATCTCAAGATTCACATTTTTCTTGAGTTCCAAATCTAACATTTGTATTTTGTATCAAAACTGAACTATATTTACACCCTATACCAGAAAGTGACCAACCTCATATGCAAGTAGAAAACTAGTTTGTGTCAAAAAGAGACATTGGAAAGCAGAAGTTAGGATTCAATAACTCTGAAAGTTTTAATATCGTTTTTCTGCAATGTTCTTCAACGGGGCCAATAATAAATTCTTACAATTTAGTAACCTAAATACTCGCGTCAAAGGGTCCAAATTACTTGTTCAGTGATATAAAAGTTCAAATTCACCAGGTCCACATTAGTTGCAAAAGATAGATGATATAATTGATACTTTTCAACTCATTATTTGCAACAAAATGGTTGATTATGATCTGTTAGCAATGTTTTAGTCTCATATCATGTAAGTATTAATAGTTGTGGTTTTTTTGCTATTGACGTTTGGTCTGTGCAACTGTTTGTAGCGGCTCGCTTACGTGCAGGAATGGCCAATAACCCTCAGTCTTCTGGTGCTCAGGTAGTATTTCTTCCTGTGATTCTGTTGTTTATACAAATATGAAAATCTTCAAACTTGATTTGGCTACATACAAACCAATTTTTACATATTGTTATTTTGACAGTATTGTTTTAATTACAATATGTGGACCCATTTTATTCTTGACATATTTCTTGTTAACTTTTTTGTTGCTCAAACCATTACAAATTTGGCTCTTTTTAATGAAAATAATTTGAGACATGGTTATGCTGGTTTCGCTCTTGCTTGAGTTTTCAGTCAACTCTTTAGTTGAAGGATGTTGTGAAGCTCTTGAGTGGGACTGTTCTGGCCCATCATCTACAGAATAAGCATAACTGTGCATCTGGTGGCTTCACTCTAGCTTCTTGATGTTGGAATTTTATTAGGAGCTTGGGAGTTTTATTACTAATTAATGTTTGCCTGTCAAAGGCACAGGTGAATGTTCACCTTCTTCTTCATTGTGTTGTAGCATGGGAGATATGCTTTCTATATTTTTGGTGTTTGGGGTTTAATGGGTTATGTTAGGCTTTTAATTTATTGGACTGTTCAGTGGTGGAGCATCCAGGGAAAAGCATAACAGGTAATATTCATGTGTAGGGCCACTAGCAAAAAATGTAACCAGAGATCCAATACAAACATATATACTTGCCAATATCCATATTATAAAAAAGATATGCGTCAATGTAGAGTGAGCTCACACTGTTAATTAATGGGACACCTTTCCTTCAAAAGCCAAACATATTTTGAAATTGCAAGTTTAATACGACGATAATGAACAGTAAAACTCAGCCTGGGCAAACTTTACGCAGAACAATTCACTTGTCTGTCAACAATAAAAAGAAAAATCATAAACTGTTTGTAACATATCGGAAACCTACAGGTCCCATACACAAAAAAAAAAAAAAAAAGAAAGAAAAAGAAGTAGAAATAAAAGTATATTTAACTATCATGTCAGTCGGATTTAGTCATTCTAGAACTCTTCACTCCAATTTTGGGTTACAGCCATGTCAGAAGGGCTTTGGATGTGGTTGTTTTATCATGTGGTGTGGTTGATTTGTGGGTGATGACATAACCTGTCTTTTGAAAATAGGGAACTTCAGATCTGTTGATTGAAATAGATGATGTTGATGTTGGTGTTATTGTTTTTCTTGGTTTGAGGGGTCTTCTGTTTGTTTGTACAGTTTGTAAAGTCATACTTACTAAAAAAAAAGTTTGCAAGGTCTTGTGGATTGGCAACATGCCCTTTCTTTCTTTGTATGCCTTACATGTACATGGTGTTGAGGGTTTTAATCTCTCTTATTTTTTAGTGTCGCTTTGTTCTGCTCTTTTTTTTTTTTTTTTTTTTTTTTTTTTTTTTTTTTTTTTTTGAGTAATAACTTTGTTCTACTGTTTGATTACTTTTCTAGGGAGAAGTTGAGAACTACTTTTTTTTGTTGTATTTGTTTTTTTTGTAACTTTTTCTTCCTGAAAACTTAAATCAGACCATTCATTTGTATTTTTTTGGGTGGTTTTTCGTCTAATGAATTGCATTCTTTTTATATATAATGCTTAGCTTTGTCATTGATCTCTCTTGTTCCATCCTTTCTCTTTGAAGCCTCTCCGGCCTCCAACAGTTGGATCGATGGGCCCACAAAGCTTTGGCCCACCCTTTCATATGCAAGTAAATTTCTTTCTTTCTTTCTTTCATTTTGTTTTTATTTTTTAAATTTGTGAATTTTCTTTTGCTTGTTCACAATATTTAAGAAATGCATGGTGAGCAATTCTCTTTGCTGCAGTTTCGCTCTATGATACCGACACAGCAAGGACAACCGTTTCTTCCTTCAGTTTCAGCTTCTCAACAATATCGGCCAGTTGGGCAAGGTATATCTTCACCTAATGTTGGGATCCCTTCTAATCAAAGTCAGCCATTGCAATATTCTCAACCAATGCAGCAGTTACCTCCAAGGCCTGTACATGCTACACCTCCATCACAGGCAATTCCAATGTCCTATATTCAACCAAGCATGCCTCTTACATCTAGCGCGCAGTCTCAACAAACTGCTCACCCTTTGAATAATCATATGACTGGTTTAGGTGGCCCTGGAGTACCTCTCTCTTCTTCCTCATATACAGTAAGCTATTTTGATTGTTTCTGTCTTTTTGTTTTTGTTTTTGTTTTATTTTTATTTGGTTTTGTTTTTGTCTTGGATTTCCTCCAGATTTTCATACCTTTGTGCTGTTTCAGTTTGCACCATCTTCTTTTGGTCAGCCACAACATTCTGTCAACACAACATCCCATTTCCAACCATCACAAATGCATGCACCGGCTGCCCCTGTTGGGGGACAGCCTTGGTTGTCTACTGGAAGTCAAGGTGGACCACTTGTTACACCTATGCAGCAGATTGGGCAACAATCTTTAGACACTGCCGCTACAGTTCCAGTAAGTCTTCCTTTGTTTTTTTCCCTTCTCATTTCATAAGGCCTGATTAGGATACAAGTAGGAGACATTTACTGATTCTACTATTTTTGGCCTTGGGTATGTTAAATCTCATGGTGTGAGGCAAAAAGTGAAAAACTGAATCTAGGTGAAGCACTTCAGAAAATCTTCCCTTGATTTTGTGAAGAAAAGCTTCACTTGATTTTGTGATGGGTTTCCCACATGCTGCCTACAGAGTTGTGACATTAACAGATTGTGACATTAACGGTCTGTATAGTGCATTAATTGTGTAGTTCCTTCGTAATGCATTTTTGAAGTTCATCCCTCCTTCTGCCCTACTGCCTTACTGGCTGACCTGATAAGACCTCCCCCTCCACTTCTCCTCATGTTGAATGTCAGTGATATTAACTTGTGTGTTTGAGTTATTTTAACTTTAAAGAATATATGAGTGGTGTGAGCTTCATGATATTACACTGGCATGCATTGTGGTTCTTTGACCTCCCAGATGTTATGATGTCAATATTACTTCATCCTCCAGCTAGAAAGAATAAAAAAGGATGATAAAATTCAGCCCTCTCTGTACAAAGACATTTCTTTCCCCTGTTCTAAACACAAGTTTCATGAATCAGGTCGATGTTTTGACTTAGATGTTGAAATCAGACAGTCCGTAGCTAGGATAATGATGTTTTTTAGAAACCATAAGGAAATTCTGTGATAATATCTAGGGTTGTAGATGGCCTTTTCCACAAAAACTTATTTTACATTCATAATATGTTCTTGTTATTTGGCTACTGTTTTGTGGTACCTGACATACTAAGCTTTGTATTTTCTACTTGTTGAAATTTTAGGCGGTTACTGGTCAACAATCCTCATCCGATTGGCAAGAGCATGCATCCCAGGATGGGCGAAGGTGAGCTTATGTATTAGTGCAGTCTGTATTACTCATTTTATTGCTACTGTATGGCTTAAAATATTGAATTTTAGAATGTCACTATCATTTCATTGTGGGTTAACTTCTTACATTTCTTGTTATTTATCTGATTTTTAATTTTCTTACTTGGTCATCAATTTCTTCAATTTTGTGTTCTGAGATTTTTTCCGTCTGGTGTGTACCTGTCCAGATATTATTACAACAAGAAAACAAGACAATCTAGCTGGGAGAAGCCCTTGGAATTGATGACGCCAATTGAGGTGAGTCATGTTACTGCCTAGTTTCTCTCCGTGAAGTGTTAATGTCATCGTATCTTATTTAAGAAGCATGCTTTTGGATTGCTTTAATATAATAAACTTTTTTTTCCCTGTTATATGGATGTTGACAATTGTAGCCATGCTTAAATTGGTCAGAATTACTTACCCAAACCATAAATTGATCAAAATTGTTTCATGTGAGTTATCCTTTTCTTTGCATGTTCTTCCACTGGTTTGTAGATGTCATGGCAAGTCAGGGGATAATAACGACCGCTGTATATGCACACTTTGAAGGCGGGTTTCACTTTCTCAAGGCAGGCAACAATTTGCTATTTACATTTTATTTTATCTAGTAGGGACATTTGCATGTGAATCGGTGGTTGGATGTGATTATTGCCATGCAGTCACATAAACTTTTCTCTTTACTTTTTTTTGTTTTTTTGTTTTTTTGTTTTTTCATCTTATATTTTTTCTTAATTTTATTTTATTTTAAGGGATGATGTGGTTGCTTATGTCCGTTATCTTGATTGTTGTTTGCTTATGCGCTTTCTTTGTACTTGTTTTTTTGGTGGTAATTATTTACACTTGTTTGTTGAATTAATTGTTCTTTCCTTGCCTCTTTCTCCTTGCACTAGAGGGATTATGTTCTAAATAAATACATGGTATGTTTCTTCCTATGTCCATTTTAACAATCAACCTATAGGGATTTAATCTCTCTATAATATCATGCAGTTTAGGCCTTCTTGCATTATGCATTTATTGATTCTTCCTTTGATGAACTTAGTTTGACAGCGAGTTAGCTTTTCTGTTGTCATGCTTTCATAAGCATACTGACTGCCATATCTACCACCAGATGTGGTGTGGTGGTCTATGAATGTCCATTGCATTTGATTTTCTCTTCACTTGTTCTTTTCTTTTCAAGATTAACTATGAATTTGATAATTATAATGACATCTGTGCGTGCATTTGCTTGTGACATATGGCTTTCCTAATGTCTTTGGTTCAAAGGGTTCTACAGGTAGGAGTTTTGCTACTACATTTCAGAGGTATGAATTACTGTGTGTTAATGTTCTTGCTATGTCTATTGTGGAAGTGTGGTTGTCTCTGTTTTTTCTGTTGTTAATTGTATGGCATATCTTTGTTTAAGTACCCCCACCTCACCACACACACCCACACACAGAGGCAAGCCCGTTGGACAAGGTTGGGTGGGGGGCTGGTGAAACATTGATATGCAAAATAAGTGTTTGCTTGTCTTACTCACTCCAGGAACTTAGTGCTGACTTATCGTATTGTGGCTTTCATGCAGTTTTTTCCTTTACATTCTCCTGTAACACTTGATTTCTTGCCATAAATGTGGAGTTTAAATTTGCTTGTTTATTTCTCATTTCTTGTTGATCGATGCTAAATCTTTGGCAATTATTGTCATTATTTATAGTTTTTCATGATGAACGTTAAAAGTAGTTGCCATATAGTAACTTATACATATGATATGATTTATTTAATTGTATGCTGTCGGACATGCATACATAATCTTCTTTTTTCTGCTGGGAAAGGTTTTGTACAGGATCTTCTGGGTGCACCTTATTAGATGCATTATTTTAACACCTCATTTTTGGTGTGGTGTGTTAACATCTAATTCTGTATAGAGCCACTCATTTTTTTTTCCTTTTGGGGTTGGGGGGTTTACTTAACCACTGTCTTTAGTGGTTTTGAAGCACAAGATGTCCATGCTGTAGCTCCTATTGTGTGCTGGAAACTGGTTTGTTCTTGGCTGATTGATGTATTGATGTCAATCCTTGTCTAACAAAATTTAGTTTTGGTGTTAACACTAGATTTATAATGTTAGTAGTAGGCCAGATCACTTGTTTTTTTGTATGGATAATTTGCAAGTTGGAACCAGTCTTTTGTTGAAGAATTTTAATGCTAGTTAGTTTTGTATAAAATTTTGCTGATTTCCCATGGATTAGCCTTCCTTGAATGATCTTTTCTTGTGTGTGTTGTTGAATTCTACGATGTTTTACTCTCATATGGCTGATTTTGGGCTGTTGTTGGATGAACACATAGGGTAACACTCATGGCTAAGATCAAGGTTATGTTCGCCGAGGAAACATAAATTAATTTGTGGTGGTGTTGATTCATTTCATTCTATTTTATGCACGTAGTCATGGCCTAAAAAGTATACATTTTTTTCCTGCATATGTGTGGTAACAGGAAGGAAGCATGCATTTTCATTCATATGTATGAATTTGAGGTTTACATAACACTCAGTCTGATCTTTCTTTTGTTTTTACCCAATAAATTAACCTCTTCTCAGAAAACTTGAAGGACTTGAGGTAGTGTATCTTTTCTTTCTGTTGTATATGGGGTTCTTATTTTTGCCTTTGGTCATATGTAAATGTACACTTGCCTTTTTTTATTTATACACTTCAGTTCTTAGTGATTATTATTTTATTCTAAAATATTACGTGTAATTTTTATTTCCTCCTGGGTGAACATTATATGATAAAATTCTTTTATTTCAACAGAGGGCTGATGCGTCGACTGTGTGGAAGGAATTCACAACTCCAGATGGTAGAAAGTGCGTTATAACTAAATTTCCTTGTGGATATAAATATAATTGTTATTTGAATTATTGATATTGGGATTTAACTTGCATTATTGATATAATTTGGGTTGGCTTTTGTAGGTACTACTACAATAAGGTTACAAAGCAATCTAAATGGCAAATTCCTGAGGAATTGAAGGTTTCTTAGCTTGACTTGTTACTACCTTTTTTCCCTTTCAAAATGCCTTTTCTATTTTGCTTTTTCGTCTTATGTTTGTGTGCTTGCTTTAAGGTGGCTCGTGAACAAGCTGAGAAAGAAGCTAGCCAAGGAACACAACCAGAAATTATTACGACTTCTAATGCAATGGAAAATGTCACCATCTCTTCTGTGGAACGATCATCTACTGCAGTAACTTCGGTTAGCTCCATCTCTTCTTCAACAATATCCGGGCTAACTTCAAGCCCAGTTCCAGTTACGCCAGTTGTTGCTGTTAATGCTGCTCCTGTGGTGGTTTCTGGATCCTCAGCCTTTCCCATTGCACATTCTGCTGCAACAAGTGCAGTTATTACTTCTTCTGTTGGTGCAACTATCACACCCTCATCTGCTGCTTTAGTTGCAACTGATACTATGCCAGTGTACGGATTTCTTCTGTTGCTCTAGTTTTCTACATATCTAGTTTTGAGTTAGCACTTTGATGGTCAGTTTGATTTCTTGTATATGCTTAATAATTGCAGGAGTAGCTTTGAAAATTCATCATCCCATGATGTCTCAAATTCTGTAGATGGAGCTTCTATGCAGGATATTGAGGTATGGCTAGTTAAATAGAATGTGTTTAGAAGTTAACTGGACCAACTTTATTTCAGTGGTGGCTTTCATTGTGTTGTTCTTTGTATCCTTTGTAAGGAAAAAGGCATATTTCAAAGTTTTGGTCACTTTCTTTTTCTCGTTTCCCTTGTGTTATTGCCCCCAGCAAGGACTTGGATGATTGCAATTAAAGGAGAACCCAAATGAAACTTGCACCAACCTGCGAAATTGGCTCAAATTTCATGGCTTATGGTGGTGAAAAAAACACTGAAATCTGAATACGTAATTTTCAAAATTTCACCAAAATTCTTGTTACAGTAGATGTGATAATAGTGTATGTAACTTTTCCCTCGGCAAATACTTGTCAAAAAAAAGAAAAAAGAAAAAGAAACCTTCGTCCCTAAGCCAATATCTTGGACCGAAAGTTACTTCAGCGCCGTGTACTTTAATTTAAAAATGACTTGTATCATTATAAAGCTGATGGTTAATATATACAAATCCCACTCGACATGGCCCTACTACACTCAAATCAAATTTTTTTACCCCCTACCCTTGGAAATTTAAAGCTCACCTCTTAATTTTGACGCAGGCACCTCACCTTCTTAGATGTGTCCATGCTTCTTATGAGCCTGCGTTTTGCATACAAAAACTGAGAATCTTGATTGCAGTACATTCTCTGCTGGAAATATGGCTGACCTTGAGAATAACTTACATGTGCTTTTGCTTAGTTTGGCTGCTTGTTTGACTATCATCAGTCCAGTTTTTGATGAACCATTTTCCCAAAACACACTACACCTGCTTGATGCAAAGGTGGCATACATTTTGAAGAATGAATACCTAGTGTCTCCAGTTGTGGTTTGACTTGCAGGAAGCGAAGAAGGTAATGGCAGTTGCTGGAAAGATCAATGTGACGCCACTAGAGGAGAAACCTATAGAGGATGAACTTTTGGTGTATGCCAACAAGCAGGTACTAATACGGTATATGTTGTGTTTATTTTGTTTTCTGAGCCATGATGTCCCACAATTTTCCATTAATTGTCCTCTTTTTTATTTGTTTATTTTCTAAATCTTCTGTAATATTTTCAACTTATTCCTTTTCTATAGGAAGCAAGAAATGCATTTAAAGCACTTTTGGAGTCCGTAAATGTGGAGTCTAACTGGACTTGGGAGCAGGTAATTTTTTTTGTGACCTGGGCCGGTAATTTGGTTATGCATTTAAAGCACTTTTGGAGTCTTCAGATGCATTTACTGTATTGAAATGTAATATCAGGCAATGCGAGTGATAATCAATGACAAAAGATATGGTGCTTTGAAAACTCTTGGTGAGCGGAAACAGGCATTCAATGAGGTAAACATTGTTTGAAATATATCATGTTACTTTTCAATGTAATCTGCACGAGAATGGGTTACACATTCTCTGATTTCCATTTTCTATTGTATTACTATATCTATTATAAGTTTGACAAATATATGCTCACTTTTCCCTGATTGTTTTTATATTACGCTAAAGTACTTAGGCCAAAGGAAGAAGCTGGATGCAGAGGAAAGGCGCATGAGGATGAAAAAAGCACGTGAAGAATTCACAAAGATGTTGGAAGTATGTTGCTTACATCTCTTGCATGATCAGTAGAGCTACAATTACCTCTCATTTTAAAATTATTGACAGCATTATGATTCTTGTTGATATGCTTTCTTATAAAATGATCATTGTTGATATGTTTTTTTTTTGGGTCTTTGTATACACAAATCACTTTATTTTTTTCTGCATTTGATTCTAACCAAAATCAATTTTACAATATGAATTTATATTCTCAAATGATATTAAAGGGATTTGCAGCAGTTGTTGAAATTCCATTTTCTCTACGGTTAAGATTTTCCCTAGAAGGTAAAGAAATAGTAAAATCTCAAAATTTATTATCGATTCATTCAATATTTTCTCCTCTTTGTATTTATTATGATCCTTGTAATTGGAATAGTCTTATTGCTCCTAAGAATCTAGTTTTTCTTTTTGGAAAAGAAATCAAAGATTTTTCTTGTTTCTATATAATTCTCATATATGTGAATACAAATCTATCTTCGTTTTTCTCTGCAACCAATGTTCTTATTTACAATCAATATTGTCTAGAACCTTTTTGAAACGAAGATATTACTATGGAAAAATAGAACATTATGTAGACGGTCCAATGGCTGTTCGCCACTAACCACAAGGATATAGGCACAATATTTCGTCTTTGGTGCCATTGCTGGAGTGATGGGCACATGCTTCTCAGTACTAATTTGTATGGAATTAGCACAACCCGATGATCAAATTCTTTCCAGGGTAGAGGCCTGCCCGATTCGACTGAATTTTGGATAACAAGAAGGTGAGATAATCTGCTTTGATCAAGGAAAAAGCCCAGTCAGCCACCAACTCAGTTTAGGTCACGTGACCTACTGCTTGGTCTTTGCTTTTGAGGCTTCTTCTACCCGAATCCCTATGTGCCCATAACACTTCCATATGGAGAAAGATAGGCTTACCATAGCATTATGATTCTTGTTGATATACTTGCTTACAAAATGTTCATTGTTGATTTTTTTATTTTTGGGGTCTTTTCTTATTGATATATAATGCTTTTTTGTGTTTCCTCCAAGCAGGAGTGTGAGGAACTCACATCATCCACAAGATGGAGGTAATCTCTCTCTCTGTCTCTCTCTCTGGATTATAGTAATTTTTTCAAAGTATAATACCTAGCTAATTTAAGCTTCTATTTCAAAACGTGGCAAGTATCATAAATTTCTAAACAAACCTTTTTGCATGATCAGCAAAGCTGTAAGTATGTTTGAAGAAGATGAACGGTTCAAGGCCCTAGAACGACCTACAGAACGTGAAGATCTGTTCAAAAACTACTTGGTGGATCTTCAAAAGAAGGTAGTAATTGCTAGCTTGTTACTTCAACTGCCCATCTGCACATTCGTAAGCATCAGCAGATACTAGTGTTTATTTTTTGTTGATCATTTTCAAGCTTGGCCTGCTTATCAAGGGTTAAACCACAATCACTGTGGCTTCTGAAGTGTAGGAATTGCTTTATGACTAATGAATACTTTGTTTTGGGTTGATGAGTGAGGTCTGTGAGACTAGCTCAGTTTTGTGAACCTAAATCCATTATACATTATGTTAACAGCTAACAATGTCTAGCAAATTTCAAGAAAGTTATGTGTGGCTGTTGCACACAATTGGACATTCATCTGGTCATGTGCCTGACACACTGGCGATAAGCATCTGGTTCCCAAACACTTTCGGGATATGACAAAGAAGGATGATGAAGAGGAGTGAGGATCCTCTCCTTGCGGCTTCCGTCCTTGCGCCCGTCCTTGCAGGCCTTCGGGTCTACTTTTAGGCCCAATTTTGATAATCCGAACCGTTCATATTTTATGATTTATTCAGTATATCATACCTGTAAAAAATCAAGTTGATCGGATATCAGAAAGCATGTGTTCGAAAAACTGTTTATTAAATTCTTTAAAAAATAATGTTTAGTTCAATTTTTCAAACAATACTTTCTGATATCCGATCAACTTGATTTTTTACAGGTATGATATACTGAATAAATCATAAAATATGAACGGTTCGGATTATCAAAATTGAGCCTAAAAGTAGACCCGAAGGCCTGCAAGGACGGACGCAAGCACCGACTTGCAAGGAGAGACTCTTGACTCGATGAAGAGACCCAAATGACCCAGATGCAGAGCGAGAGGGAGTTTGAGAGAGACCTATCGGCGGCGGGCTTTCTTTCTTTCCTTCTTCTTGAGGCTTCAGTTCTCAGGAATTGAATATGATTTTTAATGGAAGACTAGATTATGATCCCATGTTTGCCACTATTTTGTAGTTATCAAACATGGCTGCTCTTCAGCCATCCTTTTTGATTGTTGATGATTTCCGTGGGCTCAGTGAATTTTTGTGGGCCTTTTGGAGATGTGCGAGCCTCAAGCCTTTCCATTGTCATTTTTGGGGGAGCATCATATATGAAGAAAAATGGGAAAATAAAAATTTTAATATATAAAATTAAAAGACGTATTAATAATATATTTTTTTCGTTGTGTAAAAGATACTTAACATTTTCCATGTCCCAATTGTGCCGTGTCTTGCATTTTTGAAAATTTTCATGTTGTGTCATCTCTGCATTATGTGTGTTTGTTCATGCTTCTTAGCGTTAAGCTTTGTTATATTTTTGTGTCATTTAGAGATTGCTGATGTCTTTTGAAGTCAACTGATGATTTTTTATTGTTGTTGCTATCTCCGACTTACTGTTCACGTGCAGGAAAAGGAAAAGGCCCAAGAGGAGCATCGACAGAATAGAATAGAGTACAGGCAATATCTGGAAACCTGTGGCTTTATCAAGGTAAAGCTTTGTAAGACCCTGATTCATATACAAACCCGTAACATTCTTTCCTTAAGAGGAGAATAAAATCTTGTATCTTTTATTATGAATTTTCTGTTCTCTACAGGTGAACACCCAATGGAGGAAAGTTCAAGATCGGTTAGAAGATGATGAAAGATGCTCGCGTCTTGAAAAATTTGATCGCTTTGAAATTTTCCAGGTATATTGACTTATACGATTGGCCATGTATGTTGGATTGTTATGCTTATATTCGTTATTGTGGCAGGAATATATTCGTGATTTGGAGAAGGAAGAAGAAGAGCAGAGAAGGATACAAAAGGTGTTTACTGGAATTTATTATGGTAATAGTTTATTCTGTTCTGATCTGTGTACTTAACTTCATCCTTCACCTAATTTTAGGAACAATTGAAACGGGCTGAACGGAAAAACCGTGATGAGTTTCGCAAGATGATGGAAGAACATGTTGGTTCTGGTATACTTACAGCTAAAACTCATTGGCGTGATTATTGTATGAAGGTAGCTAACCTGGTTCTTTTAATTGGTTTCATTTAATTGTGGTGTAAACACCACTTATTATTCCAGAAAGGGTTGTTATTCTCCTCCTTTGTGGATTATAGGTCAAGGATTCTTCACCCTATCAGGCTGTTGCACTGAATACATCTGGTTCTACACCAAAAGATTTGTTTGAGGATGTTGCTGAAGAATTAGAGAAACTGGTAAATTATGTTTCAGATCCCCTAATGCACTATCTGGTATATGAATTTTTCATGATTTTGTTTACTAGAAAACTAAATTTCATGTCGAAGTTAACCTAGTTTTGTCTTGTATTGATACAAATGCTGGTTTGCATTTTCAAGATCTGTAAATGAAATCAGTATTAGGACTCTCTAGTTTTCTGTTGATTTAGTTCCTTTATTGCTTTGTTTGTTGGTGTCAGACTGGAATTTGTTTAATTTAATTTGCTGTTTGCTACCATCATTAGTTTTTTTTGGCTGTTTTGTTGCTGAAGAATCTAATTTACAAGTCTTCCTGTGGGAACTTAGGTGATGCGATTCTGATTTTGAGGTACCAGAAAACTCTTAATACTCTAGCAATTTGCATTTTGGAATTCACATTGTTCTGCAGTCCCAAACTCGCTCCGGACCTCCTTTCCCCCCTATTATTCCTTTAGATTCTTCATAATAAAGTCATGGTATCAATCCCAAACTCCCTCCCAGCCTCCTTTCTCCCCTATTATTTTATTAGATTCTTCCTATTAAAGTCTTGGATTGAAATCTAAGTAAAAATAGTCATGGAACAATGTCTCACTCTATATAGGATTCATTTAGTTTATGGTTTCGCATGGTTACTTCCAATAGAACAACTAGTAGTAAATAGATGATGTGTGCATTTTACTAACCTTTGTACTTGTTTGAAAAAGAAGACCACTGTGGCACCTGAAATTACTTCAAAATATATTCCAACCATGAGGTTTATATGAACGTACCCCTACTAACCTTATTTTCTGTGCATGGCTGCTTTCACTTTGATGTTCTGTGTTTTGATCCCATTGACATTTATTTTAAGTTCTTTATGCCATTCTTGACCAACATGATTGCTCTAGAGGTTGACAATGCTTAGCAGCTAGTGACCACTGTGTTACACTAATTGGTTTGTTCGAAATTTCCTCATTGACATGACATGACATGACATGACATGACATGGATATTGATGTAGGACAAATAGTTGGACGTGGAGAGAGTACTGACCTTTTTAAAATCCCCCTTTCAACTTGCCCTGAAGGTATTCATTGGCTTTCAGCAATTGTTCCAGCCAGATTTCCATATATTTTATGTGGCAGTCATCGTCGTTGGTCCTTTCTTTTCCCTTACTGGTAAAGATGTTTGACTGCAGCTGTTAGCTACCTCTGCCTGGCGGCTGATTGCTAAATGCACACTTTAGTGCAGCTGTCATTTTTAATCTTATCTGTGTGTTTGTGTTGTGTGGTATCTACGTGCCATGTTTGTATGTGCTTCTTATCATGCAACCATAAAGTCTGTGAGATGAGATGGATGGGACACCTTTACTTGAACTCACAATGATGCACTTCTACCTTATACGAGATGTATGTGTATTTCTTAATTAATATGCATACGATGCATCCAATTGGATGTATTTTGATGTGTTTTTTTGATTTATTTTTACTAGTTTTCTGTTGTATCTTTTCTTTTATTGTGTATTTTTTTTCCTCTTTTTGGACCCCAAATCTAGGTCTTAATTTGATCATCCAATTATTTTATGTTATCCACATCTTTTGTCAATATGTATTTTTTTGGTTCAGATGCGTGCTCATTTTCTGGATGAAGTAAATTTTGTGCATGCTGCTAATTGTTGTCCCTTTTTCTTGTGTGTTTGTTTCTGACAGTTTCACGAGGACAAAACTCGAATAAAAGATGCTGTGAAGTTGGGGAAGGCAGGACCTTATCTGCATTTTGCTTTGTCTACCTCATCCACCTTGTTGATAATGATTTAAATTGTTTTTATTTCTTATTTTATTGATTGTTTAGGTTACCATCACATCAACATCAACTTTGGAAGATTTTAAGGATTCCATTTTGGAGGATATAGGTTCCCCGCCAATATCAGATATCAACATAAGGGTATACCTTTTTCACTTTTGGTTTTCTTTCTCCTTTCTTCCAGAAGTTTTGGCTATTACAAAGAAGTTTAGTTTAGTTATTTTATTTTATTTTATTTTATTTTTATAAGCATGTGTTGATTGGATATATGCTAATATCTATTTGTTCCTAGGACTCGATGGAGTCCCCCAAATGTGATCATCCACTGAATGTTGTTATTTTCCATGTATGAATCATGCAAATGCTGGATCCCTTTTTGTAATCACCAACTTTCAATGGATAATCGCATTTGAAACTTCAGGGCATTATTTGATTTGGAACTTTTCCTGCCACAGTTGATTCATGAGGATGTAATTTCCCATCAGTGAGTTACTCTATGTATTCCCTAGTTTGGGTGTAGTAGTGAAATAAATTCTCTGAGAACAGTGTCATCATTGTTGTAAAAGGGATTTGAGGTTTGTGTCAATCAAAAGTCAGGGTTCAAGTAAGGGTGAGGTCAAGGATTATGCCCTTGGGGTTTTAACCAACTTGAGACTTTTGCCACGAAGTCTGAAGCTGTTCAAATGTGTCATTTCACTTATGTGAGAGTCCTGTCTGCATAATTGCCTCAATATGGGATATTGAACAGACAGGACTCTCAAGATAATGAACAGACAGGAAATTGAACTGTGTTCAATTTGTACCTGAAATTTTGCCTCTTTCCAAACTGAATATTTGTTTTATTTTTCGAAAATTCTATTCCCTTTAGGGTAAACTACTTATAGGTCCTAATAGTTAGACTTAAACTCCCATAAAGTCATATTGAAAATAAATCATAGTAAAATTGTCACTAAAAATAATTTTTTGCTTATGTCGTTAAAAATTGATAATTAGGGACTTTTTTTATCATGGTTTTTATAAATTCTCTCTAAAACTTACAATTAGTGACAATTTTCTGTGACGAATTTTTCAAACTGTCACTGAAATTTGAAAACTAGTGACTTTTTGTGACGATTTTTTTAAACTGTCTCTGAAAATTAACAATTAGTGATGTTTTTTTAATAGTATTTGATGAAAAACATCATTAATTCTCACAGGACCTATTAGACAATAAGTCCACATATTAAGACTTACACGTAAGTCCCCCTTTTCTTTGTTCTTGCTGGCTTATTTTGATTTACTGGTGCAGCACACAATCATGTAAACAAGGATTGCCTGACAACCATGGTTGTTAAAGTTTGTATCCTATAAGATTTTACTTTCTTTTAAAAACAAGGTAAAAATACAAATAAGGATGATGCATATTAAAAGTAAGTTGAAAGATCACAAACCCACATGATCCTCCTTGTGATCCTACTATAACACCGATTCTACAACAATTTGGATCTTTTTGGCAATTTAGGATTGTACAATCCGGATCGCAGTTTTGTTAAGCATGCTTATAACTGTTTTGACCAGGTTCTCTTCAAATGTTCCTACTGTTTAGTTCTATGGTCACAAAAAATTTAATTACTTTTTACATGATCTTAATAATCGTTAATTTTTTTGGGAAGTAGATAGTTGTTAATTATCTGAGAAGCACATACACAGGCACAGGCACTCAACATGATACAGACATGCTGAAGCGATAATTTTGAAAAATGCAAGACACGACTTTTTTTTTTTTTTTTGGGGGGGGGGGGACATGTGCGATATATATTGGATTTTTATATATTTATTATATTATATGTTACATGTATGAATATTTCATTAAAACATACAAAATAAGAGGAATTTTAGAGTTTAAAAGGATAAGGATTAATAAGTAGTGTCAGTGTTCAACATGGGCACACCACTTGTTTATGTGTCCGTGCTTCTTAGTTAATTACATTACTTTCATGTTGCTATATTTGGCCATATTGATAATAATATTCTAAAATATTATAAAACATGTGGAAAAAATTAAACTTAAGAAAAAAAAACCTCGTCCTGTTGTTGCATAGGATATTTTGTTGTTAAAAATTGATGGTTTTACTTGTGTCTGTTATTACTGTTAACTTTTTATCTGATGCTTTATCTTGTTAGTTAAATAATCTTTTGTCCATTTTCCATAGTGTTCTAACATTTTCTTACTAATTCGCAAACCACACACTAATTTAACACAGATTTCTAGTTTTTCCTTTAATTTTCTTCTGCTCTCTTTTGAATAGATAATAATCACATGCTTGGTTAGTGAGGCCATTTGTACTAAAATTTTATTTCGGTGTTTTGTGTTTTTTTACTGATCTACATCTTACTGGTAATGGGACTGAATCTTGTCTATTTCATGCTTGGTTTGTGTGGAAGCTGTTGTGTAAAATCATGTTTTATTAGCAAACCAATGATCCTTGGTATGGCACCTTATCCTTGTAGATGCCTCTATTGGGGAAAGAAGCTAAAACATTTATGGTTAATCAATCCTCGTACCCTAGCAATTTGATTACTAATTCTTGTATCCCTCATTGACCTAGTGATCTAGTCTCCAAGAACATTTTTTTTGGTGTGCCTAAAAGCTTGGCAAATTCTACTTGATACTCGTTGTCCTAACAATTGATTGTAACACGTTACATTTTATTCTTGTGATGTGTTGTAACAGAGATTCTTATTAAGTTACGAATATTTCACATTTTCTAGAACCTCTAAGGAGTGCCTTTGCTGTTACTGAATTCTATGATGCTGTACTTGTATGCAGCTTGTATTTGAGGATCTACTTGAGAGAGCTAGAGAAAAGGAGGAGAAAGAAGCTAAAAAGCGTCAACGTTTTGCCAAAGACTTCACTGACCTTTTGTCCACCATCAAGGTATAGGAGAGTGTTAATGATGTGGGTCACAAATTCCATTGTGCAATGATTGTCTAAAGATTTCACAGGAGTCGGGGCCATTGTATCCAACTTGGTTTGTTTTTGTCACATCGCAGGAAATCACTGCATCTTCTATTTGGGAGGAAAGCAAACAACTCTTTGAGGAAAGCTCAGAGTACAGGTATTTTGCTTTTCTGTTTTCTTTGTATGAAGATATTGTACATTATTTATTAGAAATCATTGTTCTTTAGTATTAACTACCCTAAATTCCTTTGGTTTCATTTTTTCTGTCTTGGTCTTGACTTAAGATCAATTGGAGAAGAGAGTTTTGCCAAGGAGGTCTTTGAGGAACACCTTGTGCACTTGCTGGAAAAGGCAAAAGAAAAGGAACGCAAGCGAGAGGAGGAAAAGGTAACTGACTAGGTGAATTATTTTAAATTGTCAGTATCAGTCTGTCTGTTCATCCCAGATGGCTGTAAAAAACCATTGAATTTGATCATTGTTTTGTCACTGTTCCCATGTTTTTTTGGGTATGAAATTTTGGACTGCAACTCTGTCCCATCTTCTGGTTGTTAGTGGGATAATTTGGAAATTCAGTCTTATTATGAAGGGAAATTTTCTAGATGAAATTAATGCTTAAAATATCTAATTAAACCCATGCCAATTTTGGTCATTTTCTTTTTTAGGAAATAAAGACTATAAAATAAATGCTTACTATCTGATGTTGACCCAAAAGAACAGAAGAAGAAGAAACTGGAGAAACATGTTCCCAAATCAACATCTCAATTATCAGTACCCAAATCATACCCTATTTGGTGCCATTTACAGATTTTTTGTTGTGTTTTTGGAAATAAGAACAATGAAAAGTTCGGAAACTCCCATCATGGTCATACTATTTTCATTTTTGTGCATAAACAGTTTTTGAAAATTCAGAAACAGTTAAAAAGTGTTTCCTACAAAAGGGGTGTTGTCAGAAAACTTCCCTGCATACATTTTTTGGAAACATTTTGAAAATGATATCAACATATCCTTTTTATTTACTTTTCCTAAGAAGTTGTTTAGAATGTGCAATTGTTGGAATGGTTGAGAGAGCTTTCATGCTCTAAGACGCTCGGAAATCTCATTTTTGAATGGCCTCTTATGAATATTTTGGACACGTCAGTTTCAATGTGTGCTTGCCTGCCTTTTTTGGTTTGTATCTACTAGCATGGAATCCATGATTTAACGCTTGTGTTGCCTTCCCCTCCCTGTGCAGGCCAAAAAGGAGAAGGAGAGAGAGGAGAAAGAAAAGAGGAAGGAGAAGGAGAAGGAGAAGGAAAAGGAGAAGGAGAAGGAGAAGGAGAAAAGGGATAGAGAGAAAGACAAAGAGAAAGAACGTGAACGTGAAAGAGAGAAGGGAAAGGAGCGGTCTAAGAAGGATGATACAGAGAGTGAAAATATGGATGTGACTGACAGTTATAGCCACAAAGAGGAGAGGAAAAGAGATAAAGACAAAGATAGAAAGCACCGGAGACGGCACCATAGTCCAGCTGATGATGTCAGTTCAGACAAGGATGAAAAAGAGGAGTCGAAGAAGTCTCGTCGACATGGAAGCGACCGTAAAAAATCAAGAAAGGTAATTGAATCTCTCTGTCTCAAATGATGCAGTTTCTAATCTGCTTGTGTCTTGAGAACAAAATGTGTTTTTAACTGTTTTCTGATCTTCCTTGGCAGCATGCGTATACACCTGATTCAGATAGTGAAAGCAAGCATAAAAGACACAAGAGAGATCACCGAGATGGTTCTCGTAGAAATGGTGGGGGTGAGGAGCTTGAAGATGGCGAGGTTGGAGAGGATGGTGAGATCCGGTAGATCTTGTGATCCATACTTTTTAGATTTCCTTACCTTTATCCATCCAGTAGTGGCGTAACAAGATTGCCGCGGGGCTTAGTCAACTATATTTGCAGGATATCATTGATATTTTTCTGGTGTAAACATTCTCTAACAGTAGCTTATACCATGATTTGTATCAGCCATAATTTGTTATATCGTCAACTGTGAAAGAAGTGTTTTGTACCAAGTGCTGCCCTAATAGGTTGTAAAAAGCATTGTTTTAGTTTTTGTTTGTGTTGGAGATGACAGTCAATATGGGTGGGTGTTTTAGACTGAGAACGGAATTGGAGTTTGTAGGAAGTGGCCGGGAGGTTAGTCCATGAATGTTTAGAAGAGGAAATCCGCTATTGTAATTTTAACGTAAATTTTTTGGGGTGACAGTTCACTGAGAATCTCTGTTATGAATGTTAATTTGTGTCATTTTGATACTGCAAACTAATGTTGACACTGCAAACTAATTTTTCATTATGACCAATTAGATGCATTTGGTTCTGTGATACATTATGTTGGAAGCCATGATATTCTATCTTTTTGGATATCTTTGTTAATCCTAGTGTAAAACATAGTAGTAGTTTTGTAAGTCTTGAGGATGTGTTTTCTTTTACGAAGAAGTGTATATGGCTTGACTTACAAGGCTGGAAGGATGTTTTTAACACCCTAACACACTCACTCTCTATGGGTGTGTTTGGATGTGTTACTATATTGCTTGTGTGTTATTTGAATGTCATGGAAAGCCTATATTCGAAAATTTATGACCAAGTATTAAAGCAGGCTTCCTAAACATCTCAAACAGGTCCCAGTAACTTAAATATCTTTGGCACAATGACATCTTTCACACCAATAATGACTCACGCTAATAATGCAAATGAATGGATGGGAATATCTATATCTTAAATGTCTACATTAGATGTATGCTTTGGTTGCTGGTTGTTAAAACATCAACATCTTCCATCTAATCATCTAGTTTGGTTTTAACACTTGCCTTGAAAAAAAACATAAAAAAAAAAAAATAAGCTTTAGGATGTAGAGATATACATGTTTACGAATGTACAGACAAAAAGTACAGCAGCTTGTAAAAGTTTGTAACAAAAGCCTTTTCAATTAACCTCTAGTCCTCGGATTGAGCACTAGGTCATCATGTTGTGCTTCTGGACCAATAAGAGTAGTAGGCGTGAAATGGGTGGAGTAGACAACCATCGTTGTTCGGTCAGGTGGGAGAGAAATCCATTTTCTTTGGCGTGGCGTACAAATGTCAGTGGTGCACTTAGAATTTTTTTTTGAATTTTTTGAATCCAAGTCCGCAAATTTTAACCTATTGAACATCAACAATGCTAGGTATTATGAAAAATTTTTCATGAAAATAATTATGAAAGCTTTGTGACCATTGGATTACACTTAAAATAAAACAACGCACACTAATCAAGGTAATCCAAGAATCATAAATCTTTCATGATCATTTTCGTGAAAAATTTTTCATGATCCCTAACTTTTCTAATTGAACATAATGAGGGAAGGAAAGAAATGAGGGTAAAAAAACTGGTTGTGTAGCTAAGGTAGTATTGCCATGTCCATTAAGCGAAGCCATAGATTGAACAAGCAGTTTATGACTTTGGAGGGATTGGAGAGTTGATCTTTCAACTTTTTTAACTCAGCTTCTTTCTAGGAGAGGCGGTTGTGAAAGTTGAGGCGGAATATGCCATCTGTAGGAGTTCATTATGCACTAGAAAGGTCTTTTGCTGGAGATTGATCGGCAATTAGCAATCCTAATGAAGAGCCCTTTTGAGCTCACATCCAAGTGAGAGATTTGCCAACCCTGGCTTTGTGTAGACCATTCCATTGGACCGAAGGGAGGACGAGAAAGCGATTTTAAGTAACAAGTTCAATCATGTCTACAACAATCTCATTGTTGATGATATCTTCTAAAATGGCATCTCCAATCTCTGAACCAATTTCCTTCACCTGTGGTCCAAACTCGCTCCATTCTGCAGCCGAAGCTGCGAATTCTGAATTCATCAGTTGGGTTGTGTTACTTTCATTTCCAGATAACTTGCTCCAATTCCTCATATCCTCACAGAGGAGCTTTCCAAGCTCCTCAGGCCCTGGGAATTCCAGAAAACATTGTCGCGCTCTAGCCTTCCATGCATGTGTCTCTACCATCCCCCTCACGAAATCAAACAGCAACTGTTTTGATTGCTGCAACACCCTTTTGGTTTCCAAGTACTGAGAGGAAGGATCAGACCTGGAAAGCAGCTGTGATGCTGTGAGACCACTGGTACAACTTGGCTCATCCCTTGATGTCTGGACAATGAATTTAGAGAAAGGAATTTTGGCATTTTGATTTCCTGTTTCATCCAAGAAAACAAGTTAAGCAGGATTAGAATTTAATTATAAAGTGAGATCAGATTGATGTACTGTTGTTCTTAATAAACAGACAAAGCAAAGTGACTTAACTGTTGTCATGAACTGGTGAATCTTCATTGGGAGTTATTTTTTCTAGCACTGAAACAGGACTGAGTTCCTTATTTATTGTCTTCCCTGCATCTCCATTGAAGCTTTCTATCTGTAATAATCTGTTAACTTTGTGAGTAACCAACTTGACCAACATTTTCCTATAGATTCAAAATTTAATGGGTAAAAAAAAAATTAAAAAAAAAAGGAAAAAAAGAAGAAGAAAAGACTGAGTGCTCGAGGCTCCTGCTAAAGCAGGGAGTCTTAGCCCATTTCTGGAGAGACTGTTTCAGAGAAAATTTTATGGGTCTTGAGCTAAGTTAAGCTCCTATATAGAAAATTTAGTAGCAAAATATAAAAATGACCACATTTCTACCTCTTTTTCCTGTGGAACATTGCCAAGTTTGAAGGCTATGCCATCTGTCTGCAAAGAATTTGGTCCATCTTCTATATCGATCTCGGAGCAAGAATTGTACACAGTTGTGCTGCCAGCAGAGGAAAATCTATCTGATTCTGCAGTTTGTTGGTTGCTCCTGCTGGTCTCACCGACACTAGATTTCCTCTCTCCACTCACAGAATTCCTCAATTTATGGTTACTAATGGATACAATCTTGTTAAACAGAAGTTTTACATTCTTGGAACAGCTTGGAATAGCTTTTTTTCTCTTGCTTAGATCACCCCAGCAAGCTGACCTCTTCAAGAACCTGCTTGGATTGCCAGAGCAGCAATGAAAGCTGGTCTCTGAATTGAAGTTGTTTCTCACATACCCTTTCTCAAACAGGTAGAGCTCAAGGATGAAAGGCTCTTGTTTCTCTTGGAGAAGCTCTCCAAGTTGTTTGGGCATGGAGGAAGCCATTGGAGCTGTCAAGCCAAATGGGTTGAGAGAGAGGGTATGGGAATCAAGACGTCGTCGCAAAAAATTTTAAGACCAACCTCTGTTTGGCAACAACTAAATAAGTTATATATATTTTTTTATCTTTAATGATTTTTTTTTTTCAAATTTGTGTCCTTTTAAAATAAAAAATAAAAAAACTTTTTTCTCATATTTGGAAGGATTTTAAAGGTAGAAAAATTTTATTTTTTTTTAAAAAAAATCTTCAATAAAGACAAAAAAAGCCAAAAAAATGAACTTAAAAAAAATTTTGTGAAAAAAATAAAATTTTCTAGTAAAACTTTAAAGAAAAAAATTTTGAAAAAAAAATTAAGTAAAAATGAAAAAAAGTGCTAAAGCAACTGTCATACCAAACTGAAAGAGATAAGGCATGAATTCATTACATTTTGTGATTTCTCATTTATGAATATGAACAATAACACATGATATTCCGGAATTAGTTGAAGAACAGATGATGAGTTGCAGTTGCAGTAGTTGCAGATGTATTAATTGATTGAGGGTAGACAAAGCATATCTGTCATTTTCGGGACTGAACATAGAGTAGAGAAACCAAAGCGAAGATTGGGGAGATTTAAATGAGGGTGGAGAAGAGTTGAAGAAAGAGTGTTAGGGTAAGGACAAAATAGGGATTGGAACAAAACATTGAAATAGAAAAATAAGAATTCAAGTCACCTAACCTTTTAAGGCCATGCCATTCTTTTGTAACTCATTACGATACCTCCAACAGTCAAAGCTATAATATAAAACCCAGAGGTTGTTTGGACTTTGTCCCTCTCTTTCTCCTATATATATGTATGTTTTGTCTCATTCTCATATAATCTACAGTCTATATTTCGCATGGTGCCAACAGATTTTGGCTTCTTGTGAAGGTCACCCGTAAGTAACACTGATACAAACACCGACTAAGGGGCTAACGATATTTTGCAGACGTGAAGTATTCGATGAGTGCTATACATTGGACGGTTCAAATTATTAAAAAGGAATCCATGGTGGACCTCACATGCCCAACAGTATGCTCTAGATTGATTAATTAGAGGTATTGGTCTGTAAATGAAACAAACATCTAGGTAAAACTCACATTTAAGGGTGGTAGCCCTTTCCTTATGAGGCTTCACTCATCAACCTAGCATTATTTAACACCTTAACATATATCTTAATCTAGCCTATAAGTTGCATTCTATACATCTCGAATCTCAATCCATTCGATTCAATACTAATCTTAATTCATTCAATAAGTTGCCTCTACACGTCTCAAACTGTATCCCATTTAATCCTATACTTTACGTAGTAGTTAGTTCTGATATAACATAGATACAAACAAAGTTCTGATACCAAATGATCCAAATCACCGAGTGAGTCTCCGACTTGTTCTCCCTTTGGAACTTTCTGGCTAATGACTTGTCGAGGACTCTTCAGTCAAGTGCATTCGAGCAACGAAGGTTGAGCTCCAGAATTCAAACGAAAATGGGGTGTGAGATCAAAGTGAGACATTCATAGAATTCATCCTTAAAAAAAAACTTACCATGAGAGGATGCCTAAAAAAAAATTTTACATTTACATAATCAAACTTGTTATTAACTGATGTGGAAACATAACATAGACCCAAACAATCTAGTAGGTAACAGAATTGAATGTCCACTTATGGAAGCTGATTGGTACATACGCCTCATCATCACATATTAAAACTCCTCAGAATACATTTATTATATAATTAAATATGAAAAATCTAGAAATTCCCTAGATGTTGATTTGTGATTATGTATCAATTTTAAGCAGTAAACAACAATCCCAATCAAACCATCAAGACAAATTGACACAACGATCGTCAAGACAATTCCGAGGTGAAGACGGGGTTAGAAGAGGCACATAGAGGTTGGTTCAATTCGGGCGTGGATTCGCTAGGTAATTGAGTGTATACCTGTGTAATTCCTTTATATCTTTTTAGTGGATTGTTTTGTGGCTGTTGCCCGTGGTTTTTTTTATCACAATTGGAGGTGTCCAATTGTGATTTTTTCACGTAAAATCGTTGTGTCGATTTGTCTTGATTGTTTGATTGGGATTGCTGTTTACTGCTTAAAATTGATACATAATCACAAATCAACATCTAGGGGATTTCTAGATTTTTCAATTGTTAGGTTTTTATTCTTGGCAACCCCGTTTGACAAAACTCCTTTAAGTTGTATTTATTTTCGCACTTTTTATTTCAGTGAGGCTATGATGCGAATCCAACCCGAATTGTGCTTTACAGAGAAGTTTGTGATGTTAATGCTTTTAAGATTGCCACTTCGCTGATTATGACGGGGATCGAGCTGCCCGGTAAGCTCGCGGGGGTCCAGGGGGCAGCGCCTCTAGGCGGGTCCGAGGCAGCACCACGACGGGGTCAAGGGGCAGCGCCCCCGAAGCAAAATGCAAAATTGCATTCAAAGTTGCATGTCCGTCCTTGCTCGCTGTAGACACCCCATTTTTGACCGACCTTAAGACTCAGACGTCACCGATTGAGCGCTCGGTGATGTTGCATATTGTGCTTGTTCAGAGGTCGCGGAGTCTCGGCCGTGAGCCTTGCCTTCGGACTTCCGGATTCTTTTGTGCTTTGCCTCGGTTTGCGAACCAGGTCCCTTTTTCTCGGTCTTCTCTTCCCGAAGGGAGGGAGAGGTCTCGTAGATCATCTCTCAGTGGCCGTAGGCTACGTTTCGTGGTCGTAGGCCGTTTTTCCGATTTCGGAGCCCGGTTCCCGATTTTTCGGAGCCGTTAGTCGTGTGCCTCAGTTCGGGACCGCTTAACCACCTCCGTTTGCTCCGGTTTTTGGCAGGCATCTTATTTGCTCCCTTTTGAGGGACACTGTGGCTCGAGAGACCAACTTTGTGGTCGAACACCACTTCCGGTGCCTAACAGTCAGTTTTCGGGGCCTCGGGCTGCGCGTTTCGGCCCTCGAACCTTCATTTTGCATCGGTTTGGGCTCATTTTTGGTGGAGACCTTATTTTCACTGCTAAGGAGGTCGTAGAAGGGTGGGAGGCCAGTAATTGTTCTGACAACCAGTTTTATTCCTCCATCGCCCTCCGTCGCCCATTTTTCTTACTTGAAAGCCAATGTTAACTACCCTAAGGCCACTTTTTCTTGCCCCAAACCACATATTTGTGTCGTACACACCTGGGAGGCCACCAATATCATATGGCCGGCCAGTAATTGTGTGTGACCCTTTTGAACCCCTCCTAAAAGTGGCCTTTTCTCTCTCCTGGTTCATTCTCTCTAGTTTTTGACCACATGGTTGTGTTGTGCACACATGAGAGGCCCTCTTTTTGGCATGGCCGGCCATTAACCTTCATTGACCCTTTTGACCCTTGGCCGATTGGCCATGGGGAAGGCCGACCGGCCACCTAAACCCTAGGAAATCGGCCGGCCATGATCCTCTCTCCAGGTACTTTACAAAAATGCCCTCTGTTTCCCCCCAGATTTTGTATCCGGGGGGGCCAACTTTTGGGGGGAAATTTGAATTCCATTCCCCTCCCATTTTCCCCCCTTTTCCTCCATTCCTCCCTCTATAAAACCAGCAGCTCCAGCTGCATTTAGGGTGAGAAAGTTTGGTTTAAGCCTCCTACATTGTATCTCTTTCTCTCTACACTCCAACCCTCAAAACCTCTCAAATCCTACATCCATTCTACTCCATCTCCAAGCCAACCAATCCACACTCCATTCCAGAAGCTTCAAGGCCATTTCCAGAGGTCAAGGGCTCCCAAACTTGGTCCAAGAGTTGTTGAAGCATTGGTCTTCAAGGATAAGTCTTCTATCCCTCTCTTTGGCCCTATTTTTGCTCAATATATTAGATCTCTATTTGTAATTTGGTAAATGACTTTCATTCCAGATTTGTAAAGATAAAGATGAAGCTGAGAAATGGTTTATTAGTTTAAAAGCATTAATTTCGCGTGGCCATCAACGGAAGTGGAGAACAGAATGGAGTGCTGGTATTCCAAGGAGCGCCTAGATTGATTAGAATAAGAGATGAAGCAACTTGACAGCAATATGGAAAGCCAAGTCGAGGAATTGCTTGAGTCCATACGGGAAACCATCCGGACCAACTCTGAGACCCAAAAGCAGAAAAGCTATGACTTCCAGGAACAGATCTTGAAGGCTATCTCTCAACTCCAAGACCAAGTCCAAGAGTTGAAGGAAGGCATGGAGCAAACATGGATGGACTGGGCTATGCGCAAACGAGCTGTGGCTAGTGGTGGCATTACCACTAATGCAGGATTCACTGCAAGACTTGAAGCACCAAAGCCTAAAGAGTTTAATGGCAAGAGGGATACCAAAGAGCTGGAAGACTACATTTGGCACTTAGAGAGGTACTTTGAAGCCTTAAACTTAAATGATGAAATGGCTAAGGTACGCACTGCTTCTCTCTACCTCACTAAGCTTGCTAGGATTTGGTGGCGCCATAAGCATTCTGAAATTGAAAAAGGCACTTGCATTATCTCTTCATGGGAGGAATTTAAGAATGAACTAATGAGGTAATTCTACCCTGAAAATGTGGCACATGAAGCTCAATTGAAAATGAGAGAGTTGAATCACACCCGCTCTATCTGAGACTATGTTCAAGAATTCTCCATGTTAATACTTCAAATTCCTAATATGAGTGATGATGACTTGCTTTTCAACTTCATAACTAGTCTTAAGCAGTGGGCACAGTTGGAGCTACAACGAAGGGGTGTCAAAGACATTTCCACTGCACTCACCATGGCCGAGACATTGGTGGAATCTACAAAGCCAGAAGCATCTAACTCGAAGTCCACCAAGGATGGTCAAGGCAAAGGTGGGGGAGAAAAGTGGGCCAAAGAGTCTAAGGATTCTAACGCTCTAAGGAGCAAAGAAGACGAAAGCAAGCCACCATTGGGCAAAGACTGGAAGAAAAAGATGCTAAGAAAGACATCTAGCCTAGAGACAATTGCTTCATTTGTGATGGGCCACATTGGGCGTGGGATTGTCCCAAGAAAAAGAGCCTTAGTGCAATGCTTGAGAAATAAGAAATGAAAGAGCAAGCACACATGGGGTGTCTATAACT